GGCTGGGGTCCGGAGGCACGGGGGCTGCCCGAAGCCGGTAGCGCTGGCTCGGGCAGCTTGGCTCTTAAACAGAGCCGAAGACTGCGTCCGGGGAGGAGCATAGCATCTGGAGCCGAGGAGGAGAAGTGCCCGGCCGGCGGCTGGGGTCCGGAGGCACGGGGGCTGCCCGAAGCCGGTAGCGCTGGCTCGGGCAGCTTGGCTCTTAAACAGAGCCAAAGTCTGAGTCCGGGGAGGAGCAGAGCAGCTGGAGCCGAGGAGGAGAAGTGCCCGGCCGGCGGCTGGGGTCCGGAGGCACGGGGGCTGCCCGAAGCCGGTAGCGCTGGCTCGGGCAGCTTGGCTCTTAAACAGAGCCAAAGTCTGAGTCCGGGGAGGAGCAGAGCAGCCGCGGGAGAGGAAGTGCCCGGCCGGTATTTTTCCCGGACATGTTCGGCTTTTTGGCAATTCCCCCCCCGGACGGGGGTTTGATTGCCGAAAAGCCGGACATGTCCGGGAAAAAACGGACGCATGGTAACCCTACCATAGCTACTGATTTAAAAAAAAAAAAGGTGGCACTGGTCAGTCTGTTTTCTTTGTCCAAACAGAATGTCTGAAAGCAAATAGCATAAATGTTTTTTAAAATTCTTTCATCTTTAATAATCCCAGTTATTATTAGTAACAAAGGCAGGGAAAACTTTATTTGTATCTTGCCATTATCCCTTTAAATATTAAATAATAAGGATTGCCTTTACCAATATTAAAAGTAAAAACTAGTTGCTGGTCTCTGGTATAGCTAAAATCCTTCTAATCTAAGGGACTACTGGAAGAGTTGTATGCAATGTTCAAAATGAAATCTTTGACTCTGGACAGTTTTGTTGAGGTTCGCAAACCTTTCAGGGAAGTAGAGGCAAATTCTGAATGAGCTGAAGGCAGCGTTCTGAATTAACTTACACCGATCTATGGTTTCTAGTGTAAATCACGTGAAACCGGCAAAACTTGGTGATTTTGGCTGAGATTCAAGTGTTGGTGTTCGTTCCTGAAAGTTGAAGCAAAACTCAAGTATGTGGCCCAACAGAGATCAAAACTGAAAATCATGAGCATCAAATCTGCATAGCTCTGGCGTCCAGTCCTGCAGCCCTTATGCTTGCGAGCTGCCCCACTGAAATTTCACCTATGTAAAGGCTGCAGGATTAGAGCTACTAGTGACACACGTAAGGAAACATTGTACATATACATGTCTATATTTGCAAAAGTGACTTGCGATTTTGTAAGCCTCAGTTTTGGAGTGCCCAGCTTGGGACACAATAAAGGGACCTGATTTTTCAAAAGACAGATGCTCTGCACCTTGGTGCATCCAAAATGTAGGTATTGATTTTTAACCTGTTTTACATCCCTTTAAATGAGAATCTTCTTTTCTGTGGGATGGAAAATTGCCAAAGGGGAAGCATTCCATGTTCACAATGAGGTCTATGTGAAAGGCCTCCTTTGCCTCCCCCTTTCTGATTCTAATAAACTCAAAGCCCTAAAGACTCTATTACAGCAGCTTCCAAGGTCACAAGAAGTCATGGTGCAGCATCTTTATGAGTGCCTTTGGATGCTGCTGTGCAATCTGAGCTCCCAAGTTATCCCCGGCATCAGCCTGAGGAAAGAGACTTCAGAGACAGCGGAATTGACAGCAGTCTTGGCATCACTGCATTACAAAGTGGGGAGGGGAGAAATGTCTGTACAAGGAGCCTTCAGCTGTACCCTCTGAGCTGTGACCAGTCTTATGGATGCCGGTTTCATCACAGAGCTGATGTGAGAGGCTTTCCTGGCTGCTGTTTCCTGTGCAAGTGCAGCTTTGTTGGATTCAGTCTGCACAACAATTACTTTAACCGTAGTTCACTTTCAGCAGGTGATAGGGATGGTTGGACAATTGGAGGACAAGATCATCATTAGTTCTTTGTGCCCGTGCAGAGGTGTAAGGGAGGATAGAGTGTGTGTATGTGCAAGGTTCCCTCTTACTCCTCTGCGTAGGCTACACATTCTGCTAGTCTAGCTTGGGAAGGTCCAGAAGGAAGCAGTCTCTGTGGGGCTGCTACTCCTCCTCCTCCCTTGCAGGTGGGGGAGGGTGGACAGAGTCATAATTCCCTCCTTGGTCCCAGCTAGGAACTGCCCTTAACTATGGGCTGAGAATAAACGTTCACACTAGCCCTTAATGTGGATTGGGAGAAAAGCAGGGACTCATTGCTTACCTGCATTGAAATATGGTGAATTGGAAGAGTGTTTTGGAAGGACAGAGTAGGAAAATAATAGATATTTTGCTAAAAAAAGAATAAGGATTGCCCCTCTTAAATAGGTGCAGTCACTATGGGCCAGATGTTCATCTGCTAGTTACATGAATTGAGATTTGGCCCCATGTGAGATCACTGTTGAACCAATGCCTCAAGTGGGGTGAAAACGGTATCATCTTTTGGAGTAGGCTTAAACCAGAGTCTTTGATCAGTCATTAAAAGTTGACCTGGCATTTTCCACAAGAATTAAAAGCATTACCTGGCATCCTGGCCATGCTCACATCCAGTTAATTGGTTTGCCTACTTTAAATTTGCCCTGCATTTTCAACTGGAGAAAGTATTCTACACTATCCCTCCTTAATACTGTTGTGTATTGTTGCTGGTGCAGAATGGAGTTGCTGGAGATGAAAGGCACTGTGAAAATTGAAGATGTTATAAGTAGTTTTCCAATTTTTTTACATAGCATTTATCTCTTCAGGAACAAAAATTCTTCAGGCCTCCCCTGGACTTTAAAAGTATGAAGTCGCCCCTACCAATATATGTAACTCTGTGAATTCTGAAAGAATAATTATAAGTGGTGATGTCAGTCACTTAATGTTTCCTCCTTCCAGGAACTAAAATTATGGGAGAAGACCAGGACTCACAATAGTTTGAGCCCATAAATGACCCCCTGAGGTGTTAAAAAAGAGAGAAACTTAAACCCCAAACCCTACAAATATTAGACTTCCCACCAAACTCTATAAGTTATTTAAACTTTTTAAAGGGACACCATGACAGATATAGCAATTTCTTGCATATCCTTGGGAGACATTATTAAATTAAGTTTAAGTATCTTTGGTGTCCATTATATTAAATGCAAAGTTTGTGTATTATTGTGAAGCCTGGGAGTTCAAAGGACTGTACTGAAAATATGCAAGCAAAAAAAGGACTTTTGGGACAGTAACTGTGAAGTGGATTTCCTGGGGTATGCCTAGGGAGAGCTTAAGGTCAATTCCCCAGTTCTGGTTATGCAAAAACCCAGTCTTTTGAAGCTATGCCCTGAAGAGAGGGTGATTGCTAATTACCTGGTCTCGGAGACTGGAGAGCAAAGGCCCAGGCTGTATAAAGAAACAGCTGAACTGCTCTGCCTGGGTTCTGGTTCTGAATCTGATACAATTATGATCTTGTAACCACGGAGAAAACCCAGTTGTGGGTTTTGAAGGACTGACACCTAGCAGAGCCCTTGTTAGAGTTGGGGGGTGATCTCTGGTAAGTTTTTTAGCATGCGTGCAGGTTCTTTTGTTTTTAATATGTTTCTCTGTAATGCTTTCACTTTAAGAATAAATGTGCTTGCTTAGAAAGAGCTACGTGGTAACATATAACTGTGGGCAACACGGGAGTGAGTGAGATGCAGGTCTCTGCCCAAGAGAGGTGATGACTGGGAGCTGGGACCCTAGAAGTGGTGCCCTTGGTGGACCAGGGAGGGGGAATAAAGGTGCAATAGCCCTGAAACTGTGACAGATATTGTCCAATATCTTGGCTCAAAAATTTAAACGGATAAGATTATAATAATGTGGTGCAGGTGTTCCGCCAGATTCTAAATCCCTTGTCAGTGAAATCTCTCTGTGTATTCTCTCCCAGCACCCCCAGCAGTCAATGCCTAAGGTACACAAGGCTAAGAACTAATGTGTTCTGCTCCTATTCTCCCTCTGCTGGCTCTGTAGCAGCTTTTAACTAATAATGATCTGGGAGACTGGATAGGTCAGAATTTGGTAACAGATTACAAATCCTTTCCATCACCTCTAACTCATTGGTTTGAATCCATTTCATGACTGAATGATGTTGCCATCTCAAGACTTAGTGGAGGCCTGTCTGACTGGAGCGAGGGGTTTCAGACCAGCTCCTAAAGAATAGGCACCCACATCATGACTGACACTGGGTGGACCCTTGTTTGCTCTCTTAGCAGAGATGTTAAGGACTGAGTGGGTTATGAAGATTGAATAATCCTTTCACCTCAGCAGGAGTTTGCTCCATCTCAGTATTGTGGGGAAGCTTGCACTGTCACTGCCTGTGCTATATCTGCTTTGTGGATGCTTCCGGAGCTACCAAATGGGACACTTTTCCCCAAGCATGGAATTCACAAAAACAGTAAAAATTAACAAATCCCAGGCACAATTCTGTGAGGTGATGAGCAACTGCTACTCCCATTGACTTCAGTGGGAACTACATTTGCTCAGCACTTTTTAGGATCAGGACCCCTTATTTCCAGAGCTGTATAGCTACTTACGGCACTGGTCCCCCAAAAGGATATTAATTTCAAGGGCCATTAGAAATGCAGAAAATGAATGTTTCACTAAATGGGAAAAATTGTAGACTACTAGGGAAAGAAATGTTGATTTACAGCTTCTAAGAGTTAATTCAGAAGAGAAACTCCACAACCCCACTCACACCTCCATAGACTGTGTCTTGCTAGGGTCCTGGGATGTCAGCCTTCAGACTGGTATTTCTCAGGAGCCATTTCCCTGAGAAAATGAGGGTTGGTGAGGGAGGAACTCTCTAACTCAGGGGTCGGCAACCTTTCAGAAGTGCTGTGCCGAGTCTTCATTTATTCACTCTAATTTAAGGTTTCGCGTGCCAGTAATACATTTTAACGTTTTTAGAAGGTCTCTTTCTATAAGTCTATAATATATAACTAAACTATTGTTGTATGTAAAGTAAATAAGGTTTTTAAAATGTTTAAGAAGCTTCATTTAAAATTAAATTAAAATGCAGAGCCCCCCGGACCGGTGGCTAGGCCCCGGGCAGTGTGAGTGCCACTGAAAATCAGCTAGTGTGCCGCCTTTGGCACATGTGCCATAGGTTGCCTACCCCTGCTCTAACTTTTGAGGGTGTTGACTGGAAGGAATTGAGGATGCTTGGATATGATTCTGGCATTAGAGAATTAGTACACTTGTAATTTTAATAATCCTTTTAGACCTCTTGTTTGCATGTTGTATCCATTTTTGTCTGTCTTCACCTCTGAAATCTCTTTGGGCAGGGACTGTATCTCTCTTTGTGTTTGAAGAGCACATGTTGGGCATTATCACAATCTCAATTGTAAATAATAATTGACCTTGTGTGTCTTCTAGCAAACAATAGTCTTTTCTTCTAAAAATGATTGTTTATTTTTTCCCTATAGAGAGTTTTGGAAAATGATGAAAATGCTGATGAAGTGAATGAGGAAGAGGAATTAGAAGAAGATATTCCAAAAAGAAAGAACAGGCCCAGAGGACGGGTAGGTTGGGAATCTATGGGAGAGGAAGAAGGGAAGCAAACCTCTAGTCTCATATTCTCAGTTGGTTTCTCTCTCTCTCTCTCTCTCTCACACACACACACACACAGATATGCTGAAGTGATATCCATGTGGTAAACTGAGGAATGACACAGTCAGTGGTTTTTATGTTTTCACATGTTTTTAGTTTATTTCTGCCTATTACTAAGAAATAAGACTGTTGGGAGACTTAGAAGATGGAGCAAATTTATTATAGTGATGAATTTTTATTTTTAAAATAAAATCTAATAATGATGATTATTATTATCCTGTTATTACAATCCCCCGACCTTGAAATGCCATACCTTACTAAAAAGATAAATGCAAAAAATATTTACAGTCCCATAAGCCAAAACAAAGTCATCTTTGATTTTCTGTTTTTTTGTTTAACTATTTAAATACATTTCTGTATGTTCTTCAAAGATAAAGCCAGCAGTGAAAGTTTGTTGTAGCACTTTAAGGGTGAAATTCTTGCACAATAGAAATCAATGTCCAAATCCCCCTTAATTTAAATGGGGCAGGATTTCACTCTCAGGAGACAACATTCCCATAGTTTTCTATCGTGTCCTCTCACAGATCCAGCAGTAAGTCAGCTAAGTAACAAGGTCACAATTTTAAAACATGGAGTCAAAATTTTCAAATGTAGATCCCTAAAGCTAGCCCCCTAAATGAAAGTGAACATGATTCTCAGAGGTGCTGGGCACTTGCATCTGTCATTGACTGCAGTGGGAACTGCAAGGGCACATAATCTCTGAACATGCCTTTTGGTGTGCTTGGTGGATATTTTGAGATAAAAAACAGATAAAAAAAAATAAGAAGAGCTGTTTGAAACCTCACTCATAACGTGCTTGTGCAAACCCTCTGTTGTTCCATTATTTCAGCTTCCTGCTCTTGTTCACTTTTGTGCTACGACTATTTAAATAAAGGTCAAAATATTTTTTTTAATAATTGGAAAAGTGTATTTTTTCACTCTCTTCATTATCAAAAATAGCTGAACAGTTTGGCTGAATCTTTCTTTAATATTTTCTAAAATTTAGCCTTAAACAGAGCCAGAAAAGTGTGAGTTTCAGAAAATGATATGAACTAGTAACCAAAAACAGGGGTTAGAATGGATACACTAATACAACCTTAACTATAGCTATCACTAATACTTCAGCTACATGGGCCTTTCCTAATAAACTTCCTGTCACGGAATTTGGGCATGCCTGTCACTGGAAGTGAAGGACCAAATGGATAGCGAAGAAGATATTCAGGTTGTGCAAGGAGAATTATATTTCCTGGCATTCATTTCCATGCATCTTCAAAATTGAGGAGACTTGAAAGCTGAACCCGAGAAAGGACTGCACTTTGTTGCCTAGAAAGGAGGGATGGGGTATTGTTAAATCATGGTAGACTACAGGGGAGGACATCCTGAAGAAAACTAGATTCTGCAAAGTTTGGCCCAGAAACCTCTTGGCATTTGGAGAACAAATGAGGACTGAAGGCATTGACACAGGATTAATGCAGCACAATTATTGCTCTGAACATTCCAAATTCTGTGTGTCCCTTTCTTTTCCTACAGCATGATTTTATTTTTAATTCTGGACCCTACATCTGTCCCTCTGGCTACTCTCTCTGTTTGGCTCCATTAAGCTGCTTCAAATCTGCTCTGTTGAGGCTTCCAGGCTTCATACATCAAGCATCCCAGTCCCTGCTGCATGCCGGCAGGAGAATGAAGGCAGCTGTGGATGACTGAATCCAACAGATTGAAGCCCTGACAGCATGAACGTGGCATTCAGTTTTGTGCCCCTGGGGTGACTGCCTGGTTTTCTGGCCTCCTAAGGCTAGGTCTGAAATAATGGAATTGCTAGTAAAGAGACTGAAGGCCAAGGAGATGGATTCACACAGAGAGAGGTTTTTAGAATCTTCGTTGGATGGAGAAAATGTGCAAGAAGCTGGGACATGAAGTTTGTTAAAAAATATAAAAGCAATGCAGCTGCACATGTACAGTACAAGTGCTCTTCAAATACTTACGGGGGGGCATTTTCAAAAATGCCAAAGGGGTTTAGGAGCCACACCCTATTGAAAGATACTGACTTGATCTGAAAATCTCCCCATGTTCGATTTATGAAGAAGAGTATACGTGGTCGCATCATGAATGCTTTGCACTTGTATTTCTGTAAAGAACAGTTAGAAGGGAAACAGCTGGCTGTGAAATGCTAAGCAATGGATCTTAAATTGCCATTCTACTCTGAAAAGTGACTATATTAAAATGATGCCACCTTACTCCACAGATCTGCTCCCTGTGTGTCTTCAGAGTTATACTGCTAACTAGTGACAAAAATAAGTCTTTACTGCTCTTTTATTCCTCTTAGCCCTACAGAACCAATGCCCCTAGCCCGGGGGTTGGATTCTAGTCTGTCAATCAACAGAATTGTTTAAGGTCCCATCAGTTACACCTGTGCTAACCCACAGAAGAAAATGGGGTTGCACAGGTGTCACTAAGGGCCTGATTTGGCTTGTGCTGAGAGAAGGAAGGAACCCAAGCTTACTCTCAGAGCCTCGGGTGAGTTTGCAGAGCTGGCAGTCAGGAAAAAAAAATCTTTTATTTGTAAACTGAGCACTGAAACAGATATTGAATCACTGAGAGACAATGAACATGGTTCGCATAAAGCAATTTTTACAGAATCACTTTTCAGGGTGGACACACCCTTTAATTTATTCTGACAAAGCTTGCCTCTTGCATGCACATCAGCTTCCTTAAAGATTGTGTTTGTAGTTACTATGAGGAGTTTGTGCACCCCTGCATTTCATTTGATTTACGTTTGACTCACTTGAAGAGATCACACACTGGCCAGAATGTAGTGCCCTGCTTTGAAGTCTGTTTGCAGGAGGCAAAACTGTACTGATCATACCTAACAGCATCCAGTCACAAATTTGTCCCTTTCCTCCAAGATTGCAATAAAGATAGGCTTATTCCTACTCCAGCCAAGTGGTTAAGAGGCTTTCTTGGGTTTGTTCTGGAGACCTGAGCAACCCAATGGGATGGGGTTCATTTTAACCTGTGCAGTTTATGTAAGCCCCTCTTTTCATCATCTCCCAATGATATGTTAGTGTAAAACTGTCCCTCGTACCTTGTCTTCAGACCAATGATGGAATACAGCTCCGTTAACGAGAGTGCTGTTCAGTGTACATCGAGGAGATGCAAGGGTTAGCCCATAGAGCCCTTTAGTATTTGGAACACTAATACTATTTTCTACATCTCTGCATCATCTTCAGTTCTACCTGCTAATGCTGCTTCAATTTCATATTCTCTCAAACAAAAAGCAAAGGGATTCAGAGCAGTTAGCTCTAGGAGGGAAAGTAGGAGCCAAGGACTTATCTATTGGGAAGACTGAAACAATTGAGGTGTGTTGCCTTTGCCTGGGGACTCAGTGGCTCAGAGTATTAGGAAAAGGCTGTGTTAACCTTCTCCCTTGAGATCACTAGTTCAAATAGAGATCAGGCCCAAAGTTAGTATCATTTAAAGACTGTCCATTGGCCTACATAAAATAATTTGGGGGGCTGGGTTCAGTTCCCAATATCCACATCACAACCACCACCATTGTAACTGGTGCCCAAGTTGGCATTCTCAGCTGAGAATGGTGAAGATTGAATGGCATTAACACTGAACCCCATTCTTATTCCTTGTGTTCAGATCGCACTGATGCACATATGCAGGGCAGCACTTTATGGATAAACCAAGGACCTCAGTCTCCTGGGCTGTTGGGCTAGCACCTTTCACCAGCACAAGATGTATTTTAAAAATATTAAAAGGAAAGAATCATACTCATTCCTCATAATATTATGAGCCTGTTTTCAGGCTGATTTCACAGTAGTGTTACTTCTAGCCACAGATGGATTCATGCCCTCCCATTCATTCATTCATTCATTGATTAGGCTCAATACTTGAACACCACCTGCTGTGACTTGACTGAAATATGCAGTGGCAGTGAGGCAGGAATCATTATAGTGCTGTGACTAATCAGGTAGGGATATCTATTCTAAGGGAGCTCTGCCACATTGAAAGCTCAATAAATATACAGTGTGTTTTAGGAAAAGGCAGAACCCCAGTAATCTGGTTACAATGATGTAACTCTACTGAAGTCAAAGATACATTTAGTCCATAGTTTATACTAGTTGGGGCAAGTTGAAAGTTGTGAGGGGCACCAGAATGACATTAACATCCTTATTCTCATTGTAGGCTCGGGGATCTGGAGGTGGCAGGAGAAGGAACGATGCTGCCTCCCAGGATGACCATGACAAACCTTACGTTTGTGACAGTAAGTAGCACCCAGACCACCAACTCTGCTTCTGGCCTGGTCCAACCAGCTCAAATGTAATCAGGGCTTCATGTTCTCCTTTCCAGCATAGAGTCCTGCTGCTCTCTGACTTGCATGTCTTTCACTTGCTGCTGTTGGGGTTTTTGTGTGAAAGAAATAAAGTGAAATCACCTCTCATGCTCTGTCAATCTCTCTCTCTCTCTCTCTCTCTCTTTGGGGCTTCTCTGCCTTAACTCTCTCTCTCTTCCCCCATCCTTGTAAGATTCACCCTCTATTTCTTTCTCTGTTTCAGATAGTTACAAACAAAAGCTTAACTCAAAAATCTCCGACAAAGGTACTTCATCATTGTGTATATCTCACTTATTTTTGTGGTGAGTCCCTTTCTTTCAAAGTCCTAACTCTCTCAGCCCTTCCTCAGACAGAGCTCTTAGGGACATCAGTGGGAGCTGTGCCTCAGTAAGCACTGATTAAAACCCGACTGCCCAGTTCTGTCACTTGTAGGGTACAAGTACACACCAAAGGAAGGTGTGATTGTAGCACAGGTACGTATACCCATGCGGGCATTAATCTAGCTAGCTCAAGTACCAACAGTAGTGTATGTGTGATAGCACAGGCTTCAGCGTGGGTTAGCTGCCCCAGTGCTGCCTGCCAGGGACCCTGGGTACCAGTGCTGAAGTCCATGCTTCTGTATTGTCGCTACTATTGTTACCCTAGCTAGCTAGATGAAAGCTAGCATGGATGGGCCTAGCCACACTACTGTCATACCTTAATTTGCTGTGTAGATGTACCCTGACTCACTGTGAGTAGTAGCTGACTCTGTGATGGGTTCCAATGGGACTGCATGTGAAGCAAGGCATTACTCAAAACGAGCAAGGGTGTCAGACTGTGAGGAAGAACATCAGAATTTGACATAGTATGAATTTTTTTTACAGCTAGGATCTATCCATTGGCATTTTTTCTTCTTCTTTTCAACTCTTTCTCACTTCAATACATCCTATTCAGTGAATGACATGCTGGGCCAAACCCCGTCTTTCTGAGAAGCTCCCACTTCAATGCCTAGAATAGATTGGGTGTTCACTGGGAATCTGTGCTGTCAAATACCACCACTAACTAACCAAAGCTAACAGAGTGCTGTTGTCTGTTGAGTCGGTTCCAGGATATTAGAGAGAGAAGGTGTGTGAGGTAATATCTTTTATTGGAGAAGTTGGTCCAATAATAGATATTACCTCACCCACCTTGTTTCTCTGAAAGCTAATAGAGTCAGGAGGAGAGGTGACCATCTTCACTTCACAGCTCCAAAAGGTTTTGGTGGGGTTTGGGATGAGTTGGTACGCCCACTCCTTTCTGCCCCCAACCTCCCAACTCCTCCAGCCCCAAAAGACCAATAATCACAATAGCTATCTATGAATCTGTAGTTTTTAAAAAATGAAGAAATCTGGAACATACATGAAAGGTTTATTTCCCACAGTCCAGCCATGCTCTTTCATGGTGAAGTTGGGTGACCCTTGTATGGTGTTGTGATTGGCATTCCAAATGTCTTGCTTTGGCAATGCAAATACTATGGGGACTCTAGGGATGGAGTTCCTTAATGGTGCAATTGATTTGGGAGGGAGAAAGGAAAGCCTTGAATGGTCTCTTAATATGTCTGCACATGAATATAACCTGATCACAGAAGGAGGAGCTCTTTAGGGTGAAAGGATGGGGGGCACCTCTGCAGGTTTATATTTAAGGATCTGTTTTTACGTTGGAGGGTTGAAATTTCCCCTTCTAAGGATTGTCCAGAAGTCCAACACATATTTTCTGTTTAAAATCCTGAGCCATTCAGTGAGAGTGGATGTGTGTGTGGGATTGTCTATATCTCCTTTCTTGGAAATGCCCCCACATGCAAGGGCACTTCTGTGGATTATAGGCATTTTGAACATATTGTGACTCTTTTCTGGTCACTGCCATTTCCCTAGTGAGAGTATAAATGATTTAGCTCAGCTGCAGGATCACCCAGGCACCTTAGTGACATGCAAAGAGGTGATTCACAGATAATATGTGACACATCAAAGATATCAAAGCAGGCAACAGAAATCTGAGCTGAAGCCAAGGTTATGGTGCATGTTGTACTGACGTAGTTTTGCCCATTCCTGATTCCTGGTTTACATTTTAGAGCATAAATTTACTTTTTGGTTTTGAAAAATAAATCTTTCTGACTCCCTTTGGCTGAAATCTTTCATTTTTAAGAAACATCTGATCAGAAGGGGAGGACCAAGGTAGATGGCTAAGAGAAGGTTGTTACAAGTAACAGAACTCTTTTACATTACTATGGGGGACCGAAGAGAGGGTTGCTCCAGCTATAGTGCCATCTTTCTTGTGTGTCATCTTCTCCCTCCCTTTTAATATCCATTAGAACTTATATAAATAATTTGTAGTGAATAATTTATTTGACACCGTTAGACCCCTTTTCTGTTAATGAATTGTCAGCAAACAGTTTAAGATTTTTAAAAATTCATTTCTTCTTCAAAATTATTTGCCAAATATTTTCTACAATTATATCTTGATCAGTAGATTGTTTGGGAGAAGTTAATTCCCAATATTCAATGTACAAATTCACAGCTAGATTGGTTAGTTTTAGATGGGAGCATGCAGGTTACAGAGTATCGTTTTTGTTCCCTGTCTCATTACTCTTAGAATCACATTACTGGTGTGAATAATTGCCTTCAAGAGTCCAGAACTTGCTTTTCCTGTATATTCTCTAATTTTCACTCCAAATTTTCTGTTTCTGCAAACATGCCTGCCAGGAAATTTGTTTGTTTGAATGTTTGTGGAAAGTGAACAAACACAAAAGGTGCACAAACAGAACTGAACTGAAGTATTATTTATTTATTTATTTAAAGGATATAGTCACAGAAAATTCTTTGAGGAATTTGACCAGCTATACTTCCCCATTTATAAAACTATGCTTATAGGAAACAGAATATACGTCAACAGTTGTCAGTACTCACGTAAAGGTCTGTGAGAAGCTACCTGTCCATGTGTAAGCAGCATGGCTGTGAAGGAGCTAACCTCTGAGCCTGGGTTAGCCTCTTCACCTCTGACTTCTTGCTGGCAGACCTCCTTCCACTGGAAGAAGGGAATGCTACTCCAGAGAAGGAACTCAGCCCTGACCAAGTGGGGACAGGTAATTGGTTACATGCCACCTGAGCGGATTTTGTCCAGTTGGTTGGTCCAGAAATTAGAACTGCTTGAAAAGTGGAATTTTCGTCCCTCAGGAAAATTTGGTTTTGTTCCAAATCGAGATGAAAAGTCAAAAACGTGGAATTTTTTGTGAAATGAAAATCTTATTTCAATTTTATTGAAATATTTCATTCTGACTTGTTATACAACATTCTATAATGGTTGAAACTTTTTAACTTTTTATATTACATTCTATATAACATAAAAGTTGAAACAAAATGTTTTGATAATTTCTCATAAAAAATAACAATATTGATATGTTCCTGAGAAAAGTTTCCATTTCATTGTATCAGCATTTTCTGATGGAAAACTGGTCAATCTGAACATTTTCGACCAGCTCTACTGGATACCCTTGAAAAGGGGGTTGGAGAATGGGACTGAGAGGAGACCATGTGGGAGAGCTGTAGGCAGGAACGTGTACTACTGCTTACAAACACAGCCTGAATACATAACTAGGAGATAGACCAGAGAGAGCCTGGATGTATGGCCTCAGGTAAGGTGCCAGGATACCAAACCATGCTAGAAAGAAGACCCAACAAAGCCCTGGGAAGACTGGGGAGCTCCTACCACAGCAGCTTCAGATGAACAACAGAGTACAAGTTTCAAATGAAGGGCAGAGTGAATGAATGAATGTATAAATGATAGTGAAGGACAACTGATGACATATGGTCATAAATGTTGCCCCATGGGATCCACAGCCAGAGAAGTCTCACCACATCTGTGTTCTTATCCATGATTTGGCTGTCTTTGAAAATCAAACATCTTCACTCTGGTAAAACTCAACATTATATGGAGTTTCATAGCATGAGTTCTGGAACAAAAAAATGTGAACATCTCTAGCTTCTGAACTAGATGAATTGATGTTCTTCCATCTGTCTGAAGTGGTCTACCTGTGCTAAGTCATCTAGACGCTACTTAGGGCAGGTCTACACTGCAGCTGAGAGCATGCTTTCCAGCCTGGGTGGACAGACTCATGTTAGCTCTGCTTGAGCTAGCTCACAAAAATAGCACTGTAGCTTGGGCTAGGTTTGTTCTCAGATGGCTAGCCCAAGCTGCTACCTGTGCTACCCCCAGCTACACTGCTATTTTTAGTGTGTTAGCTCAACCATTGCTAGCATATGTCTATTCATCCGTGCTGGGAAGCACACTTCCAGCTGCAATGTAGAAATAACCTTACTCTTCTTCCTCCTTCCCCCACCTCACTGTAACTAATCTGCAAATATACTTACTTGCGTCTTCTTTTAAATTCCATTGTTCTTTTCCTCCAGTCTATCTTCACATGTGGGGCTTTCCCTTTCTGCTTCTATAAAAGGAGTTGCTGCATGTAACTTTGTCAAGCATTTTCCCTCTCTAGTCTGTCTCACTGTTTCTTCTCATCTCTGTGTAGCTCTTCCTCTCTTTATAGTGCACTTTGATTAAGACAGCTTACTTTATATAGCATCCTTTGTACACAGACTCTTTGAGATTGGGATCCCAAGTGGACCTTTTAGTCCATCCCCTTCACAATGGCAGAACTGGTTTAATTCTTCCTATCAGCCCTGATGGACCGGTGACTAATCCAGCCTTGAGTGTCCCTAGTGATGATGATTCCTGTCTAGAAGCTTGTTCTGTTGCCCCAACTGTCCTTTTGGTGATCAAGTTTCTCCAAATATTTAACCTGAATTTTCTCTGCTGCAGACTTACACCCATCACTTTGTATTCTCTTCTTGGTGCCTAATGAGAATAATTGTTTCTTGGCTTCTTTATATTATCCTTTTCTGTATCTGAAGACACTTATC